CCATGGACATCCAGCCAATCCCCGCGGTCATTCTCTGTCCTTTTACGTTGACTCACAATGTTTTGTCTAGTGCGGTTTCTGGTCATTCCCGACAGTCTTCTCTTTCATCCACAGTCTCGTCTGCTTCCTCTGTTGTATCTAGTCCTCTTTCCAAAGATACTGGCTCTCTACCTTCTGATCACGACCCTGAATCGCACCTTCCACCTCCATCCACCCTTCCGGCTTTATCAACCTTGAGCATGAAAGAGACGCATAAGAACAACTCTGTTGAACATCATTCCAATAAATCCAGCACTTCAGACCACACCGCTGGCCAGCATCCCATCCTGGGCACCAACCATGTTGCCAATGGTACCGAAAAAAAAATCTCCACTGTTCATCAGTCTCACAAAAGCAAATGTCCTCTGGGCAACTTACCCCATGGGGCCAGCAAGAGCATGGAAAAAGAGCCTCACCAAAAGCAAGAGAATCCAAAAGTGTTCTTCAAATCATCTTCTTCAAGTCTGCCACAGGGGACGAAGCCTTCAATGCCCTCACAAACTAAGAAATCTTCCATCAGCAAATTAACAAATCCATTTAGAAAATCTTAACTGTGGGATACAGCATCCTATGGAGTAAGAAAATGTGGACAACAATTTTTTCATAGACTAGAAAATGTTTATTAAGGAGCTTTCAATTACATAATCTTTAACTATGTAAGGCAATCTCATTTCTGAAATGTAGCTTTAAATTATTAAAATGTTTTGGTAAATTTTCAAAATATTCCTTGTATTATTTCTATTATCTCCTAAAGTTATTTTGTTTCAATCAGCATTTCAATTCAGTAATAACTCTAGTTATAATGCTTTTTTAGAACCACATTTTTTTTTCATATGATGAAGATTAGTTAGGATTACAAGGACATTAAAAACAAAATGGTCGCATGACTAAGGATTTTGTTTTTTTTTGCATTTTGTACTAAATTGTATTTATTCATAAGCATGTTTTACAAAATTGTATGATTTTAAGGGACATTTTAATTAGAATGAATGGCTAGCTTACTTATGATTTTACAAGAAAGATGTCTATGAAAAGCAGAAAGATGTTGGGTAACAAAAAAGGCAGTGGTAGTTTTTTGTTTTCCTTCTGAAAGACAATTGCATTGTTTTAATTTTTCCCCTCTGAATGACCATTGCATTGTTTTATTTTTCTCCTCTGAATGACCATCCCATCATACGATGCTTCTGATGGGCTGATTTAAAAGATGAACTCTTTAAGTAATGTAGCTAAGTAAGAAATGATGATGAGAATGAAGTCCCATCCCTGAAACCCTTAATCAAATAGAAAACTTTCCAATGTAAACCTAAGTATAATTCCAAAGGTAAGAGTAGAACATTAAACCTAATGGCTCAGGACAGTATCTTCCAAACTTTAACATCTGAGCATCAGCCAAAAATTTTAGTAAGTAGTGCCACTTAATAAAGAAAAAATTAAAAGATAATTTTTTCAAAATTCTAGGTTTGGACTTTTCATTCAATATTATTAGTCCTGTAAGATTTTTATTATTAACACTATCAAGGATCTTAAGAGTAAGTGTCCTATTAACTGAAAAAACAAACAAACTTTCGGAAGCGTACAATAAGAAGTCTCGTCCAATAAAATAGGAGTTCAGTGGAAAAAGAAAAGCATATGCGCTTATTTCCCTCTATTCTGTTTAAATGCCCAGATTCCTTTGTATGTTTGGTTGAGAGTTACTTTTATCTACAAGCTTTAATATGTTGTTTTGTATTCAGTGTGTGTAAACATTTCATGGGAATTATAACAATGCATTCTAATAGTGTTGTCTTGTTTCATGAAGCCCTTGATATTATTTCATTGATGTGTGGCCTTAACATGGGCACTTTGAATTCCATGGTGATCTTTGTACAAAGCATCCAGTTTTATCTCATTTACAAATATGTGCAATTTGGTTCAAGCTAAGAGCAACGTTGTCTAGATTTCATCTGCTGCATCCATCTCAGAGGTCTCTTGTCATTACTAAGGGGATAGTATATGGAAGAGGACTAGACAGGCCTGCAAGCATTGACCTGTTAAGTCACTGCAGAGTGGAAGATGAAGAAAGGTTATAAGATTTGTTTTTCTCACATTTTTCATTTGATTCCTTTTTGCTGAGTACATTATTTATTAAGTGAGACAATGCTAGTCAGATTGATTAGGTAGAAAACAATAAGTTTAAAAAAAAAAAGTTTAGCTGAGTTTTTAGGCCTACATTGGAGGTGCAGTGGCTGAGCGGTAAAGCGCTTGGCTTCTGAACCGGGGATCCCAGGTTCAAATCCTGATGAGGAATGGGATTTTTAATTTCAGGATATTTGAGCACCTCTGAGTCCACCCAGCTCTAATAGGTTCCTGGCATTAGTTGGGGAAAAGTAAAGGCAGTTGGTCATTGTGCTGGCCACATGACACTCTTTTTAACCATAGGCCACAGAAACAGATGACCTTTACATCATCTGCCCCATATACCACAAGGTCTGAAAGGGGAACTTTATTTATTTTTTTATTTTTTTATAGGCCTTACATTCATGTCATTGGCTAGGTACATTTTTTTTTCAGGCACTTTTGATTTCCAATTGTATTATCCTATTAGCCTTTTCTCATGTGTATTACGGTACCCTAGAAGACTTGAGACAGCATTAGAGAGACTTCTAGACTCACATTCAGAGTACGGGTGCTTTTTTTTTGTCTGTGTACCAGCATTATGTAAATACACAAAACTTTTGACTGTCTAGGGAGGCTGAAAATAGGTGCTTTTTTTTTTTTTTTGCGTCTGTGTGGGATAACCGCTGAATAAGTGAAAGTAAGCCACTTGAATGAAGAATTGTTGCTCTTTGCTTGTTTAAATACATTATGCATATTAACATTAGATGGTAATTTTTTTTTTATTCATTGATCCAGTATTGAAATAATTTGTTCCTCGTCTTTTTTTCTGGATCTTGTTTTATGATGGCTTAAAAATAGACAAGTTGCAACAATATGGATATAGAAAATAAAAGATATCTTAAAATTAGATTTCTTTAAACATAAAGTAAAGTGGTATTAGATTTATAGAAATTAAATTTTGAGTAGATAATCACTTAGAAATAATTTGATCCCATTACCTTTTGAGCGTTAACATTTAAGTTGGAAATTGTCTGTATTGTTTTGTTTTTTCCTCTTCTGATAAACTAGTTGATTGACCTACCATTGATACAAGTTTGCTTTACCTTAATTAAGCTTAATAATTTAAACTTGAACTTGCATTATGAGTTCAATGACAATTATTGCTGTTGTTGAAACTACTACACAGTATTGTAAGCCATCATTTATGTTGCTATCACATTGAACTTTGTATTTATTTCTTTTTAAAATGAACAATTGACCATTTGAACCAAATAATTCCCAGAAACTCACCACTGGCTTGTGTCATACATTGCATTGAATGTTTTTTTAATGGGATTAAAATTAGAATCAGAGTTCTCCATTTTGTACTTTTCCTTTAGGATTTAGTCCATGACTTTGTGCTGCAGGTCAGAACTCACCAAATAAAAAGGTCACATGACCTAAAAAAGCATCCAATGAAGTGAAATGGAGCCCATACTAATTAAAATCAAATAGGCTTCCAGGAAACCAAACTGTCATTTATTTATTTACAGGTTTTGCCAGAGTTAATTTTGTTTATTATGATTTTTTTTTGGTCAGGCAATTATATTTGATCAATATCTACCAAAATCCATTGTTCAAGCATGCTCCCACCTGTTGTGCTGTTACATTAGTAGTGATAATTGCTAGCTTGAGAGATTGTCATCCTATATTAATTTGTTTCCTCATTGGTCATAGCCATTTGTAAAACTAAAGAATAATAGGCTTGAAACATACAAACGAATGTTTGGAGTAGACCTAAAAGAAATGAGAATAGAGTTTGGCTTGGAATCCAACATTTCTGAACAGTACAAGTGGCAGACACCTGATAGGGGGGTAGGGGGAGAGTCAAGCTGAAAACGCTGTTACCTGAATGCCCTTGTGTTTTTAAAGAAAAGAGAGAATGGCACCTTTCTGACTCACTGAACAGGTGGATGAACTGTGTAGGGCTAAGTACAATCAACTTTTAACTTCTCCTCATGAGGTGTCTCATAACAGGAGAGTTGACCACCACCCAAGTCAATGTCCTGATCCACCAAGCTCTCCCCATGAGGTGTCTTATAACAGGAGAGTTGACCACCACCCAAGGCAATGTCCTGATCCACCAAGCTCTCCCCATGAGGTGTCTCATAACAGGAGAGTTGACCACCACCCAAGGCAATGTCCTGATCCACCAAGTTCTCTATTACTCACCCATCTAGATCTGCATCCAAGTGAATTTATGTTGTTCATATCAATATACTCCAACGTATTCCACCCTATGCTACAAATCATCGTAATCATTGACATTTATACATTGTAACAGCATTTTAATCATCTGCCTTGGTTAACTGTATTTTTTTTTTAAATTATAAACATATTGTAAACAACTCGTATAGTGAAATCGTAATACTTTATTGCCGTTTCTTATTTCATTGGTATACTGGACTTTTATCGTGCTGGCATTTATTGTTTGGTTATTTGTTTCTATCATATTTGTTTAAAAATTTATTTTTGGTTTCACTTTTCTGTCTTTATTGATGTAGTTGGAAGTACTCTGGTTCCATCAAGTTCGATCATAGATTTTAACATTTCTTTCACTTGGCATAGAGTTTTATTCCATTTCAAGTCCATTGCCTCTTACTTCATTCCCACTTTCTGATTGTGAAGTTTGTGGATAGAAAACAATATTCTTTGATCCCATGTTTTAACAATAACACCAGCACATGTCTATACATAGAAACTCTTGTCACTGGTGACCATTCTTAAGATAAAGAGGTTTTGCTAGGTTATGGATGAGTATTTTGGGTCATTTCAAAGAAGAGTATTGCACAGAGAAAGCATTGAAAATAATTAATTTTTTTTAAAATTTAAACATTTTTTTAGGACATTTGAAATTAGCTCATAATTGAAAAGGAAATGATTAATTCTATATTTGTTTGAATCTTTCATCTGTCAGCTTGCTTGTACTTGAGATATATAGAAATTTAGAAGAAAAAAAAGAGTTTCCTAATCCAGACCTTGGCTTGTGTTTTCCCACTGATGTATATAAGTGTAATTAAGAACAGACTACTCTGACAGACTGCTCTAACAGACTACTCTGACAGACTGCTCTCACGGGTATAACAGACTTGTATGTATGCAGGCAATTCAGGCCAATAAGATCAACTTATTTCTCTCTCTCTCTCTCATTTGATATATTGTTTTTATTTCAGTTCAGAGTTTTGTTTTCTTTGTATTTTCCCGTCAAATGTGTTTACTTACATCTCGTGCTTCTTCAAACTATATTCCATTCTTTTTGTGTGACTATTGGTTATAGGATGTTGGGAAGTCTTTTTGTGGTAAGACAATCACAAATCTAGAGTCGTAGACCTCTGTCTAGAGCGTATGCCAGCACTGTTCCCTAACAACCAGATTCGATGCCAGGTATAAAGTAATTGTAGTTCTAGTAGATACTAACTCCTGTACCAGGCAAGGGCTTTAACACTGAGCGGATTAGCAAGCCTTTTTTGTTTTCTTTGTGCCTATTACAAAGAGCTTACCTTTCTTTAAAAAAACAAATACCGATAGAAATCTTTCGTTGAGTTTTGTTTTTTATTTATTTAGTTCTGACCCAACCAGACATAATTCAAGGACAGAAGGTCAAAAAATGATCTTAGCCACGTGTCACCCTGTCTACCTGCTAACCAATGCAATCCAACTCTTTGGTGGTACATTATTCCATTTCTGAGTATGACTAAGGCCTTTTACAATCAAACCTTTTTGATTTAATATAAAAGCTATGATAAAAAAAAAATTTACAGTATTCCCTTCTCTGGGTATTTCTTGTATTAAAAAAAAAAAAAGGCCTATTGTTGTTTCTATGTCCCATCTTTGGGTATTTCAATATATATGCCTGGTCGTGCGGTTTGCACGCTGGACTGTCATTCAGATTTATCGATGGTCCCCGGGTTCAAACCCTGCCCGCTCCCATCCCCCGTCGTTCTGCGGGAGGTTTGGACTAGGAAATAATTATCCTCAACTCTGAAGGAACATCCGAAACATGTCAAACATTTTACAAAACATATTCCAATCCATTATTTACTTTCCAGTTCCCATCTCTGTAAGTGTATATTTCTAAGCTGATTAAAAGTGACCCCCTTCAATAGCAGTATGCTTCATATGTCCCCATATATAGATTCAAAATATATTTCTTTCAGTTTAAATGAATGCTAGACCTAGCTCTATACACAATGTGTTCAGATTTGAAGTTTAGGAGTGTGTTTGATAGAGATCAAGTCATCGGCTGTAGTACTCTTAACAGTAAAACCACTTAAAAACCACTTTACATTTCAGTAATTATCTACTTCTATGTTACTGCTAGGTCTTTATTTGTATAAAATCCGTGCTAAATTTAATAGGATGGTCTTCATGTGACCAACTCTTTTATCTGTGAACTGTGTTTCTCAACCATCAGGGTAGATTATATATAATTGGAGGCCCTAGGCGAAGTGAATTAGGTAGCCCCCCAAAATGGAAATAGAACAATAAATAAACAGCGAAAAAATAAAATTACGAAATTTATTTAAAACCTTCTTGAACTCCGACATTAACAGGGAGCACAGGTTTCGCTGTTTCTTCTCCGAAAATTGTTTTGAGTCATGTGCCTCTCCGATCGGACCCCTAGGCGGCTGCCTAGTTTGCCTATGCCTCCTGCTTCTCTATCTCTTCTATACAAATTACGATCTAATTCTAATCAACAATGGTTATCGCGTGACAGGTTGTTGTTGTTTTTTTTTACGTTGTTTTATCAATATTATCACGTGACCGTTGGTTTTGGTGAATGAGGTCCATTAGTGACCTGACCATTGGAAGAATCACAATCGTTTTGCTGTTACTTCATGTTGCTTCACTTTAACTGTTGACTTGTATATAGTTTTAATATTTCTGGCAATGTCTGTATTATTTGCTGATGTATTAACTGTACAAAAAAAAATGTTCATGTATAAATATTTTGTTGTCAAGCTGCATTCAATATTAAACCTTATTTATGGACAGAATTATCGGGTTTTTGTTTATATAATCCGTTTGTCTGATACTAATTTTGAATGAGTTATTTCTCCCACACCCATTCTCGGATCAAGTTGAAACTTAACACTAAACCAATTAGGCCTAATGGTAATTGTTTTGTTTGAAACAAGGGCGATCAATCTTACAGTATTTAGAGATGTGGCTAAAATCTAAGGGGTTTGTCCCGTTAGATAATTGTATACGTTATTTCTCCTACACCCATTCTCGGATCAAGTTGAAACTTTATACTATTTCTTTTTTTTAACTGTCGTGTCACAAGAAAGAGAACATTCACGTACAGAAAAAAAAGGTGGCACATCAAAAAGAGACACATTCACGTAAAAAAAAAGAGAGTTCACATCAAAATGTATAAAAGAGAATGAAAAAAAAAATATTGCTAGATATAGATAAAAAGATAGATGTAATAGGCGTAATACAATTGTTAGCGGCCCCCGCTATTAGTTTTGTCTGTTTTCAGAGGCGTAGTTAACCATGGGCGGGTGTGCGGGCTCACGGGATATCAAGCGGCATCCCACAGTAGCTAGTGTATTATAAGTTCCTATTTCCCTTAGCTTTTCAGTAAAAACTACACATTTCTCATCCATCAAATTAGACCTACACTATTGTCGATAAAATTAGTTACTATACAGTCTTTTTTTTTTTTCATCTACCTAGGGTTTTGGAACCCTGATTTAACTAAAATAAAGGACGCGCAAGTGTGCCTTAAGAAAAAAAAAAGAATTGTCAAATAGAGATATTATCCTACAACCAAACTGTAAAAAATAAACATAATTTTAACTAGTCTGAACGATGCTATGCTGAAGCCAGTATTATATCTACCTTCACCGAAAGCACGTTCACAGATCTGGGGAATATTATAGTGCAGAACTAATTAATATTTCATGCGAAAGATGGGAAGATTATATATATTAACATAGAATTGTTTAAGAAATAATCAGCCGAATTGGGAAAACTAAATTACTGCGTTGAAGAAATTCCGTTGATAATTCGTTGATTTCCCTGAAATCTAGCTCAAGGATTAAATCAATTTCAGTAAGCTACTAGGTAGATATATAGGCCTATCGCCTATATAGGCTATGTTTTTAAAATGCCTTATATGTGCGTGGCCGTGGAGGCACCTTTCTCTTGGACAGGGGTTCTCAACCTGTGAGTCGCGACCCCTTTGGGGGTCGATTGACCATTTGCCAGGGGTCGCTTAAGACCATCGAAAATATGGATTGTTATTGTCTACTCTTCTATTGCTGTAAGTGTGTATCGGGGGGGTGGGGTCGCGGCAGAGTGGGAGCTTGTAAAAAGGGGTCGCCGAGCTTTAAAGGTTGAGAACCGCTGCTCTTGGAGGTCCCCCCCGATGCAATTCTAAAAATGGAAAATCATAAAGATATAGGAAATGTTTTGATATAAGCCCTTCATCAGCTCTGCAATGGTCTTTATCTGCAGCTTTTAATATTAGGCCCAGATCCGACCATATCTGACGACTGCCAACAAAAAACCTAGCTCTAGCTTTTAAACTCTCCCGCCTTGACTACTGCAAACGCCGATGATCACAAAATCTTCAAGCTGCAAAGAATTCAGAACAACGCCGCACGAAATAGTCCCAAGAAAAACATGACGAGATTCTGCTGCTACTCTCTTGCGCACGCTCCTGTATCTTCCTGTGGTAGCGAGAATCGACTACAAGGTGGCCACACTTTGTCATCAGTGTATCTACAATAGATAAATATGCCCATGTACCTTAGTGAACTGATCACTCCATATGTCCCTCGGAGAACACTGAGCTCCATGGATTCAACGCTTTCCTCAAAGGTTACTGTCTGCGGGCTTTTTCAGTGCACGGACCAAAGGTTTGGAACTTACTCCCCATTGGTATCAGATAGACATTAATATGCTTCACAACATTGAAGAAGAGCATTAAGACCTACCTGTTCAAAATTTTGTAAGATTAGTTTGTCATTTTCGCTCTCGTGTTTATGTTTGTAATTAGTAATGCTATCACAGCACCTTGAGTCTACATTATGTTTGTTAAAAGTGCTCTATATTAGGCTATAGCGTTTTTCGAGAATATATAATTATAATATATATATATATATATATATATATTATATATATTATCAGAGGAGAACTAAACATTTCGCGTGGCCCTGAACCACTAGCGGATCCAGAACTTTGAAAAAGGTGGGGGGGCGATTTTTTCCAAACTCTAACAGTAACGCCCAGTAAACCCTAACCCTATGGAGAAAAAGCGCATACAGCATATATATATATATATATCACGATTAATCCTCGCTCCTTACTATAATTTCTGCTAATGATTGCATTTCGCATTTAAGAATAAGGGGTGGGGCGACTCGAGATAAGTTTTTGATTTATAGCATATATCAATTATATAAGTGACAGATTATTTTTAATTTTTTAATTTCTTAACTAAAAAACAAAAAGAAAAAGTTTTGGTTTGTCCGATGGGCGGATGGCGATTGCTGTATCGCCCCTCCCACATGGTACAACCATTTTTCATTTTATATTTACTCATAATAACATTTAAGATTGGAGTGTGGTGCGACATAATATAGGCCTACTAATGGGTTCAAATATCAATATGCAGCTTATATTATATAGATAGTCAACTACTTTTGTTCACAAACTATGATTTCTCCATAAAAATATGACCGCCCCCCACTCAGACGGCTAGAGAGGGGAAGGCAGTAGATGCAATCGCCCCCCCCCCCCCACCGAATCAGCCAAGACACCAGAAGGGGAGCGACATAATATAAAGATCGGTTAAAATATCAATAACAAGTTTTAATTATATTTAATTGATTCTGTTAACAACTGTTAACAAGCTGTGATTTCTACAAATAAATTGGACTGCCCCCCACTCGAAAGTTTATGGGGTGGAGGTAGGATTGATGCCATCGCCCCCTCCGCACCCCACCAAATCGGCCAACATACCAGAGGGGGGGGGGGGCGAAATAATCTAAAAATTTGGCTGAAATGAAATATAAATAATTAATAGTGTATATTATTAACATAAGTAATAAATTCGAATACAAATTGTGTGATTCTAATTACATCCTAGAATTCGGCGGCGGCGAGTGGGGGGGGGGGGGGGTCTAGCCCATATATACCACATGGGAGTAGCCAAGGGGGTTGGGGTTCAAACTACGGACGCAGGGGGGACGGAATTAAGTGACTGATTTTTTGCTTTGATTTTGTTTATTTTAGATTTTAATACTAAACCATCACTTGCCCCAGCGCAGCCAAAAGGATTTTTAGTTTAAAACCCCCTACCAGGGGGTTTAGCAGTTAAATCCCCCTCTTCTATAAAACAAAACAAAACAAAAATAATGCAAACGACAATCTCCGAATTCCAAGAGCATAGATAAGGAAGATTTTGGTTATAAACCCCCCTCCGAAATTAAGATAAACCCCCCTCTTCAATATAAAAAAAGCAAATTACACTCTCAAAATTCTATGAGAGTAGCCAAAGAAGGTTTTGAGTTTAAACCCTACTTCATCGGGGTTTTGATACTAAATAATACCTCTGCAATATAAAAAAAAGTAAATTACAGATTAAAAATCTTTGAGCGTAGCCAAGCCAAGCGGGGGGGGGGGGGGGGTTGAGTTTAAACCCCCTTTCTCCATATTTTTTTTTTAAAGTTTAAAACCCCTCCAGGTGGTTTTGGGTTTAAAATCCCCTTACAGAGAGTTTTGAGGTTGAAAACCCCCCTCTTCAATATTAGTCTAAATCAAACTACACTCACCAAACTCTATGAGCATAGCTAAATGGGGTTTTAAATTTGTTAAAAAAAAACTCCAGAGATGTTTTTAGTTTAAAACCCCCCAACAGATGATTTTGACGATGAAACTTCCCTTTTTCGATATACAATCTAAAGCAAACTACAGTCACCTATTTCCAAGAGCGTAGCCAAGAGATGTTAAAAATTTCTACCAGTGACTGCAATGGGCTCCATTTATAAAGTTCAGTGAATAGTCACCTGCCGAAATTGAAAAAGACTAAATTTGGCTCAAGAAGGCTAAGACGGATTTTAGGAGTCAGTTATAGAGATCAGGTCTCAATCTAGAAAATCCTATGCCGAACTGGGAGTCGACCCCTTATTAAGGTTGTGACAGAGCGTCGCATGTGGTTTGCAGGACATGTTCTCCGACAAAATGAATTACGCATAATAAGAGTTGCAATGACATGGAGGCCATTACGAGGAAAGCGCAAACAGGAATATCCTAGTGACCTATTACAACTTCACGCCACACTTTCATGGAGGTCCTTAGAGCAGGCATCAGACATTGCCTGTGACAGATTTTTGTGGAAACAGCTTGCCGCCCAATGCGCCGAAAGGCGAAGTAGAATCTATATAGGTCAGTAAGATCGGGGGGGGGGGGGAATTTAGTGACTGATCTTTTGCTTTGAGTTTGTTTATTTTAGGTGAGATTTTAATACTAAACCATCACTTGCCCCAGCACAACCAAGGGGGTTTTTAGTTTAAAACCCTCTACCAGGGGGTTCGAGTTTAAAACCCCCTACCTGGGGTTTTTGCAGTTAAATCTCCCTACCTGGGGTTTTTGCAGTTAAATCTCCCTCTTCTATAAAACAAAACAAACAAAAATCCCCAAATTCCAAGAGCACAAAAAAAAAAGATAATTACGCACTCAAAATTCTATGAGCGTAGCTAAATGGGTTTTGACTCAGTTTTGAGTTTAAACCCCACTTCAGCGGGGTTTGAAGGTAAAAAATACCTCTTTAATAATAAAAACAAAGTAAATTATACGCTCAAAATGTTATGAGTGTAGTCAAAGGGCGTTTGAAGCTAAAAAGTACCTCTTCAATATAAATTAAAGCAAATTACTCACTCTAAAATCTATGAGCGTAGCCAAAGGGGTTTTGAGTTTAACCCCCCCCCCCCGGCCAGGGGGTTTGAAGCTAAAAAAATACATCTTCAGTGTAAGAAAAAAGCAAA